TCACAAGCCCACGCCGCAAAAAAGAAAGCCAACCTTTTAGGCTCCCTTTTTGCGTCCAACTCGACTCTTAATGACGGAGGAAACATACCGCCGATCATCCCGCAGTTGGAATGCTCTATGCCTGCTGTGCGATTCACACAGTTCTCAGTACGCAAAGCACTCCTCTCCCTAGACATCCACAAGTCGAGTGGGCCAGACGGAATCCCGCCTATTGTGCTAAGGACGTGCGCTCCAGAGTTAATACCGGTTCTAACGCGTCTTTTTCGGTGCTCCTACTCCCTAGGCGTTGTCCCGAATTCATGGAAGATAGCTCTTGTGCACCCGATCCCTAAAAAAGGTGACCGCACTGATCCGTCCAATTACAAGCCTATCGCCATCACCTCCTTGTTCTTGAAAATAATGGAGTCCATTATAAACTGTCAACTCATGCGGTACCTTGAGGAGCACCAGCTGATTAGTGACCGCCAGTACGGTTTCCGTCGGGGTCACTCAGCTTGTGATCTTCTTGTCTACCTAATACATAGATGGGCGCAGGCGATCGAGTCCAAGGGGAAGGTATTGGCCATTAGTTTGGACATTGCGAAGGCATTCGATCGGGTCTGGCACATAGCGCTTCTTTCGAAGCTTCCTTCCTATGGGCTTCCCGAGAAATTGTGCAATTGGATCACCAGCTTCCTTGCAGATCGGAGCATCAAGGTCGTAGTAGACGGTGCATGCTCTGATTTCAAGCCTATTAACGCTGGTGTTCCACAAGACTGCGTGCTATCACCAACGCTGTTTCTTCTGCATATCAATGATATGTTGCAAACCGGTAACATACATTGCTATGCAGATGACAGCACTGGTGATACTCTATATACCGGCCGTGCCAGTATTTCTCGGGAAAACTTCGCCGAGTACCGGAACACAACTTGTTTCTGAATTCGAGACTTTGTTGAACAAAGTCTCGGATTGGGGCCGACTAAATGTTCAATCCCCAGAAGACACAAGTTTGCGCGTTTACTACTAAAAGGACCCCCTTTGTCGTATCTCCTCAGTTTCAAGGCACTCCCCTTGTTGCCTCAGCCAATATCGGAATCCTCGGCGTCGACATATAGAGTGACGTGCAGTTTCGTGGTCAATTGGAAGAGAAGGCCAAATTGACCTCTAAAAAGCTTGGCGTGCTCAGCAGAGCGGGACACTATTTCATGCCGGCACACCACCTGCAACTTTACAAGCCGCAGGTTCGGCCTCGTATGGAATACTGTTCTCATCTCTGGGCTGGGGCTCGCGAGTGCCAGCTCCTTCCACTTGACCGCATCCAGCGCAGAGCGGGTCGAATCGTCGACGACCGAGTTCTTTCCGATCGGCTTGACTCACTGGCACTGCGTAGGGATGTTGCATCTCTTTGCGTATTTTATCGCATTTACCACGGGGAGTGCTCTGAGGAATTGTTCGAACTAATTCCAGCCGCTCAATTTCACCATCGCACATCGCGACAAAACTTGGGATACCATCCATACCACCTGGATGATTGGCGGTCCACCACCTTCCTTTCACTTTCCTTGTATAATCGATTACCACCAGCGATTTTTCCGGACCGATACGACTTAGGGACCTTCAAGAAAAGAGCCTACTCCTTTTTAAAAGGCAGGCAACGCATCTGCAATTCCCCTGGTGTTGCAGTTGTTCATGGGCGGCGGTAGTCACCATCAGGTGAACCGCATGCTCGTTTGCCACTTCTCCTATAAAAAAGAAAGAAACATATCCTAGCCTGTAATTCTTCGTGCTCTCTATACTCTTCAGGAAGAGGGTGTGATCTTAGGCAGAAAAACAGTCCTACTACCTGATGGTTATTCATGGTGTAATTTTACTACTGGTTTGCTATTACTTTTTTTATAGAATAAGGCTGACCAATGAACGCACAGTCCACCTGATGGTAAGTGGTTGCTGTGGCCTATAGACATCTACATCTATCTTCGTTTGCGAATTAAAATGCAGATGCGTTGTCAGCCGTGCGGACTAAGATAGAATGCCTCTTTTCCAGTAAAAAGGGTCTCTGGTCCTATACACTCACCGTACGAAACACAGCAGCATTAAGCTGCTATTTACGCTGGTATTCTGTGAGAACGTGATCCTTAAACGTTCGAGCCGACCCATTCGTGCTACAACAACTTAAAAAAAAGTCCCGCTGGGTTTCTTGCTGGTTCTTCCCAGGACAGAGGTTTTTTTGTGTGGTAAATTAAAAAATAACTTTCAATTAGAATTACACATGTGATCTATATTGAAAAAAAAATTATTCTATTCTATTCTATTCACAACTATACTATTAATATAGCTGCAGCTTGGCTCTGCCACGTATGATAATTCGTCAGCATCATCATCATTAATACAGCCCATTTCAAATCCACTATTGAACCTATACCTCTCCCAAGGGATACCACAAAACAAACTTTTTCTCGTGAGGCTTGCCATAGTTGTTTAGCTTTTCAGGCGATCTGGCAATTGCAGTTCTTATGTAGATCTTATTGTTTCACTTCAATAATTTCGATCGAGACTTTGTTCTTATTTAATCGATTACAAATAATAAAAATGTCCTCCAGACCGAATTTCGGTCACGGCGGTCAGTCTTAACAGAGACTATCTGCGCAGGACAGGATTAAAGTGTGCAAGCTCATGTGCGCTCTTTATTCCCTCACTCTTATAGTCCGATGGGACAATAATAAGCCTAACGGCTTTACGTGCTCTTCGATGCTCGTGCTCTTCGATGATCGTCAATTTAACTCAGGGCTGCTACTGACAACTTCTTAAAAGGAGTATGTTAGGGCTGAATCTGAATAACAGTGTGAGAAATGGTGTGATAATAGAAAAGTGTGGTTTGCAAGATGATTTTTTTTATAGGATAAGGGTGACAAACGAGCACACAGTCCACCTGATGGTAAGTGGTTGCTGCGGCCCATAGACATCTACATCTATCCTCTATTACAAATCAAAATGTAGATGCGTTGTCACCCGTGAGGACTAAGATGGAATGCCTCATTTCCAGTAAAAAAGGCCTCCGGCCACCTGCACTCACCAAGCGAAACGCAGAGGTAAACCGCTACTTCACGCTGGTTTTCTGGGAGGTCGTGGTACCACCCCGGTTCGAGCCGGCCCATCCGTGCGACAGCAAAAGCTGCCGCGTGGCTCTACCACTGTTACCAGGATGCTGTGACCAGGATTAAAAAAGGAATGCTTCCGTGGTTAGGTCACGTAGAAAGAATGAACGAGGAAAGATTGACAAAGCAAATTTATGTTGCAGAAGCGAACGGTAGAGATGAGAAGGAATATACTAGATGAAATTTTATCGACCAAATTAACGATATATTGAAGATGGGCCAGATTAAGTGTACCCTTAACCGACAAGCATGTATGCATAGGTATAATATGGATGTAAAGGAGGCGCGAGAGGTGTGTTAGTATCGTGCCAGGCTGACAGGATGAGTGTTTATGTATTATGTTATGTAAATACTTAATAACTGATTTTGACCCGGGATTCCGGTTCCCGGGAACCGGAATTCGAACCGGACTTTATGATCAGCAACCACTATACCAACGAGGTAGTTTAAGATGGAAGCTCCAGGGTGGCCCGCGAAATTCAAATTTTCTTGCGTTTTTTGGAATTTGCAGGTCAGGGTTAGGTTGGTAGCCCTTTGAATGAGTTTTTCCAGAAAAACTCATTCAAAGGGCTAATATGAACTTACAACCCTGTATTTGTAAATGAAATTGTATACTTGGGGAGTGCTTTTAGCCGGGATGGAAGATGTGATTTAGATGTGGACAGGCATGTCGCTGCCGGGAACAAAGTCAATGGTGCCCTGACTGCGTTAGTCAAAAGGCAAGGCGTAGTGAAGAGTGCACGCCTTGCAATACATAACGCAGTGTTGGTACCGACTTTGTTATATGGCAGCGAAACCTGGGTATGCCAGAAGAAGCATAAAAGCAAGTTGAATGCAGTGGAGATGCGATCTCTTCGTAAAATGTGCGGCGTTACCATGGCCGACCGAAAGCGAAACGAAGAGATTCGCAATATGGCAGGTTTGAAAGATGACCTTATCACAAAAATTGATAAGGGCGTGCTTCGGTGGTTTGGGCACGTTGAGCGAATGAGTGAAGACCGAATGGTGAAGAAAATATATAGCGCGAAAATTAATATTAAAAGGTGTCGAGGTAGACCGAGACTAACTTTCGAAGACCATGTGAGCAAATTGCTCGAAAAGGGTAGGATCAAGAGTACTCGGATACCTAGACGTGCATGTATGAAGAAGATAATGAATCTGAAAGAAGCGAAAGAGGTATGTAAGGATCGTGACACTTGGCGATCTGTTCTCTCTGGCTACCCCGTCAGGGATTGTGCGTGAAGATAAGAAGAAGAAGAAGAAGGGTTGTATTGATGATTAATGATAATAACTATGTAACCACATAATCGCTACGGTCGCGAATCATATTTTGTTAAATATACAACCTAACCCTGACCTGCAAATTCCAAAAAACGCAAGAAAATTTGAATTTCGCGGGCCACCCTGGAGCTTCCACCTTAAGTAAGCGATTAATCAACGATTATAAGTAAGACTGTTCTTGTTTTACTTCTTCTTGTACTAGATACTAGTTCTATCGATTATAAATAATAGAAGATCGACTTATATTTGTATAAACTAATCGAATATTTTCACTCGTAAATCCTACTAAAGTGCCATTGTTATTATTTATGAACGTCACTATTGTATTTGAATACCAAATCAACAAGAGGAACGTACATCCCGGATTTTACGATACAATGCAAGATTTCCGAAGCGGCAACGAAATAAAAACAATTTTATTTGTTCTTACATGAGACAGGAACAATAGTAAGTCGGCACTATAAATATTAGATAGACTCTGTCTTTCAATGTAAGATAAAATCGCGTTGGTTCAGACAAAGCACCTTAAATATTGATATAAAATTTTACATAGTTTATTATAGACATTTTTTATTACAAATCATGGAAGTTAGTGCATCGAGCGAACAAACAAACGATCTAGAAGTTATGAGAAAGATGGAGGACGAGCATTTGCATCTTCAGAGACAAGTAAGCAATTATTTCATTTATTGAAGAGCCTTAGCTACCCTATATCTAAACCCAGTAAGTGACATAAAAACCAATTTTTAATTCAAAATCTCATTGATATAATAATCGTATGCAGAATGATAAAAGAGTTAAATTCTTAAAACTAGCACCAGCGTGAAACGGTAGAAAAATGCTTTCTATGGTCTCCGGTTCTTTACATAATCAAGGATAGATATAGGTGTATATGGATAAAAAATCCCATATATACTGGTGATGGCAAGCAGTATGATCCGAATAAGAATGTTGGCTCCACGCTCAACCCCGACAATCGGGTAAAAGGGCTAAACATCCTTTTCTAATTTCTATTCTATTCCTTTTTGCGATATAAAACAGCAACATCATGTTGATATTTTACATTGGTCTTTTGTGACAACGTGCTCTTGTACTCTGTAACTCAAAGAATTAACAACTGATAAGGAAGAAATGTTCACACGCGAGAGTTCTGTGTGTGTAACAGCAGTGGAATTGTCATGAACTCAATGATGTTAATGGTTTTGTGAAGGAGTATTCCTTCAAGTTCAAGGTCACTCAATTGGGCTTTAGGTATAGCCATGATACAGCTTAGTACTAATACGGTTCTTTCGAGGTGGTAGGGAATTGTTAGTTGTTATAATATTGTTATCAACTGCTTCTAATGGTCGTAAACGCGGCTGCTAATGATGTGGTCTCATGTTTGAATACCGAGTTGAGACAAAGATCAGTTATTGAGTTTATCTGTCAAAAAATTCTCAATAGCAGCCCGAAGTCGAATAAATTGGCAGTGTTTCATCCCAATACCTCGGAAGGCACATAGAGGCAATGGTAGTATTGTCGTGTGGGATTGCTGTCCCATCGGACTATGAGAGTGAGGAAATAGAGTGTACTTGTGCTAGTGCATACACTCGGGCAATTTAACCTTTCTTGTGTACATGATGTCTCCATTGAGACTGACCGTCATGACCTAAATTCGGTCGAGAGGACATTGTTATACTTACCATCTTATTTTATTTGCAGTTTCGCATGATACAGACAGACAGAACAAATCGCGTCTTGGGAGTACATCCAATGTTTAGAAGACAAGACAACCTACTAAGGACGTTAAAAGGAGAATATTTAAACGTTGCGAAGGATTTAAAAGTATGTATCTTCTTCTTCTTTAGCCGATAACAGTTCTCTGTTAGGCATGCGCCTCTCCCTGTAGTCAGTAATTCATACATGACGCAATGTATATGCTATTACAATAAAATCTGTGAAAATATAATAGGTCTCTCTATTAGCAAGCTTATATATTATTATTTTTTTAATATTACTAAACAAAAGTTTTATAAAAAGGTTTATTATAATATAAACGAATATAAGGTTGATAATAACCCCTGGGAATGAGGTGGTCACTTCCAAGCTGTTTCTTATATTATAATACCAGGCAGACGTTGTTCTGCCCTTTCCAACGACCATTTGTTCTATAAAAAGACCTTAAATTCGCAATAAAAAATATTCAAGGTCACATAACAGGATAAAAACTATCCTGTATCTCAAGTTGGACCAAACTGCACACAGTGTGCGAAATTTAATTGAAATCAGTTCAGTGGTTTAGGTATCGCTGACAAACAATGTGACACGTAATTTTTATATATAAAGAAGATTATGTTATATTAAATTTTGTAATTAATTTGTACAACCTATATTTTATTGTAAAATTTTACTTAAAAAAAAGTATCACTGTATTTCTAGCTGGTTTCTCCCAGGACAATTTTTTCCGAATCAATAGTATAAGAAAAAAATTACTTTCAATAAGAATTACTTGTGATATATATTAAATACAAACAATTCTATTCTATTCTTAGGTCGGCTCGAACGGGGAAGGACCACGCTCTCACAGAAAACCAGCGTAAAATAGCAGCTTAATGCTGCTGTGTTTCATATGGTGAGTGTAGAGTACCGGAGACCCTTTTTACTGGCGAAGAGGCATTCCATCTCAGTCCTCACGGGTGACAACGCATCTGCAATCTGAGTCTTTATTGAGGATAGATGTAGATGTCTATGGGTCACAGTAACCACTTACCATGAGGTGGACTGTGTGCTCGTTTGTCACCCGATCCTATAAAAAAAAATTGCCGTAATCTGCCAGGATAACTGGCGATCGAATTACCAAATAAACTGCAATTTTGATGCTTTTGCTCTTATTACCCCTGGGAATGAGGTGATCGCCTCCAAGCTGTTTCTAAAATAAATTTTGTAAATACTTTGTAATCATTTATATTGTAAAATTTATTTTAAAAAAAGTCCCGCTGGGTTTCTTGCTGGTTCTTCCCAGGACAGAGGATTCTTTTTTAACAAGTGGTAAAGTAAAAAAATGCCTTTCTATAAGACTTTTTTTTTTATAGAATATGGGTGACAAGCGAGCACACAGTCCACCTGATGGTAAGTGGTTGCTGTGGCTCATAGACATCTACCTTCGTTTGCGAATTAAAATGCAGACGCGTTGTCAGCCGTGAGGACTAAGATAGAATGCCTCTTTTCTAGTAAAATGGATCTCCGATTCTCTACACTCACCATACGAAACACAGCAGCATTAAGCTGCTATTTTACGCTGGTATTCTGTGAGAGCGTGGTCCTTCCCAGGTCGAGCCGACCCATTGGTGCTACAAATAGACTATTAATATAGCTGCAGCATGGCTCTACCACGTAAAACTTGTACTAACTTGTAATCAATATTGAATAAAAAATTATTCTATTCTATCATGTCTGAATATTTACAGCTATTATGTACAATATATCGTTATTTATTGAAAGCAATAAGGTCTTTAGGGCCTATCACGTGGGTGTTCAGTTTCAGTTCAGTTATTTTTTTCTAAAATTGAAGTGACATTGCTGGCCGTATGAGGAAGCTCAAGGTCGCTCAGCAAGCTATGGAGAGGGCTATGCTCGGAGTTTCTCTGCGTGTTAAACTTAGGAATGAGGATATCCGCAGTAGAACCAGAATAACCGACATAGCCCAACGGATTAGTAAGCTGAAGTGGCAGTGGGCCGGCCATATAGCTCGAAGAACCGACAACCGATGGGGAAAAAAGGTTCTTGAGTGGCATCCTCGTACCGGTAGGTGAAGTGTAGGGCGACCCCCACGAGATGGAGTGACGAACTAGTAAGACATGCAGGAAGTCGATGGATGCAGGTGGCTAAGGACCGTGCTATATGGCATTCCTTGGGGGAGACCTATGTACAGCTGTGGACTTATGAAAGGCTGTAATGATGATGATGATGAAGTGACACACGCACATGCAGTCCATACGATGGTAAGTGGCTGCTGCAGCCCATGGATATCTGCGGCCAACTTCAAATAAAAAAAGCTACAGATACGTTGTCACCTTTGACGACTAAGATAGAATGTCTAACAGCCTGTAAATATACTGGTTCTCTATATCCTTCAGACTACAACCTACCTTACAAGCACTGCTATTTGGTGGCAGAAATATGTAAAAGTTTGGAAGGAAAACCGTACCCAGACGGACTCCCCTTATGAGAAAATCTTAAGGTCGGTCAATCTTAGGTAGGCCTGTGTTCAGCAGTGGACTTTGATATGCTATAATGATGATGATAATGATGATGATGATGACTTATATTCCAATTACGTATTTAAAAACGAACGATAAGTTATATTAAATATATTAAGTATTTTTCTCTGTTGCGGCTCTACCCATAGCTCTCACCGCAGTATCAAAGGTTAGCTGGCAGAGAATGCCTTTTCGGCATTAAGTTCGCCTTTGTACCAAATGTTTGTTTGTTTGAGTGCAATAAAGAACTTTATATCTATTTACATAAGAACCAATTTTTACTAAAATATATCTGAAAAAGCACTCCACGCTTTTTTACACTAATATTATTTTTCTCATATCAATCACTATTTTATTATTTTAAACTCATTGAAAATTATTTTCTATTTTTTAGTTCCGTTACCTACGAAAGCGTGTTTTTTTAGTTTTTTTTTTACTTTTATTTATAATGGCTATATTTAGCCTTCGAGCAAGAACCAGTTCTCTTATTAATAATAATAATAAATAGTAAAAATATTTATTGTCACACAATAATAAGTTTACAAATGAAAACAAAGTAAGTATACACGTAAAAAATAATTAGACGTAAAAATTTAATAAAAAATGAACATTCACAATTAACAAATTAACTATTACTAAGTATATGACTATAATGTGAGGCAACGGGAATAGGCTCAGTATTCGCTGGGCATTTTCACAGCACTGGTTTTCAGCCAGTCCCTGCTGTTTTGGATATATTTTGTTCGCACGCACATTGTACTTAATTATATATATATATATATATATATATATATATATATATATATATATATATATATATATATATATATAGTGGTAAGCCTCATTACAGTTAAGATGTGTTAAACTTTATCATACAATAAACGTACAGCCATTCGGTCTAAAAATACTTTTGTTCATGAAGTAACTCATTTTTAACCTTTTTTTTTTTAATGTTGCGTAATTTATATTAAAATTTTCTTTTAAGGTGTTGGCAAATCAGTCCATATTTTTGCGGCTGAATATTTAAAACATCTTTTGAACTTTATTGCCTTATGGCATGGAATATTCAGCATGTTTGAGACTTTTTTACGTATATTTACTTCATGGGCATTCTTACTCCAATCTAATTTACTATATAAGAATAAAGTTTGCGAACTAAGCAATCCAAGTGGAGTTTCTTACATGCGTCCAATTTTGAAATATTGTTTTCATTAAGATACGGAGTAATATGGGCCCTCTTTAGGACGTTAAAATAAAAACGAATACATGCGTTTTGCACGCGTTGAATTACCTTTTTTGTTTTCTCATACAGTACTTGGCCATAGACGATATCGCAATAATTAAAATGTGACAATATTTAGTTACTTACTTAGTCTTCCTGATCGTTACTGTTAAGTAGTTTCTTATGCTATATAATACCTTTAAATGATGTTACGTATTTTAATGTTTACATGCTCATTAAAGCGTGGTTGACTATCGAGGGTAATACCAAGGTTATTTGGCATGATTGACTCTGAGTAACTTTTTATTGTTGATGAGTATTTCCGGTTTATTACTTTTTTTTTCCTTTGTATTTTACTTCCTAGTGCTATATATTTTGATTTTAAAGGATTAAGTGTTAGACCGTTTTTTTTTTTTGCCCATAAGAAGATTGCCGACAAATCTTCATTTAACTGCATGACTGCATTTTCCGTGTGTTCTGGTTTGAATGAATGATACATTTGAGTATTACTGACGCCTTGTGTAGTATTCGCGTAAACACAAGAAATTATGGTATGCATTTAATTATACCGCAGGTAGCAAGATCAGGGACAAATAAAAAGAGAGAAAAAAGAACGAAAAAAGAAGTGTTACAAGCGATTTTGTTCCGTGAGAAGACAGATACGCAATGTGAAGGTAAGTGTTTATAAGTATAATAGTGGTCCTATTATCAAATTTTGACTACCTAGGTGCTCTAGTGATCGTATACGCGATCGCAGATCATGAAATCTGTGGTTCAAATTTCGGGTCAGCTCAAAATCAATTATTGCGTTTTTCTATCAAGAAACACTCTCTGAAAGCACATAAAGCCACTGTTACCGAGCCTGATCTTTAATTGCGTAGGATAACCGTCCCATTGGACTATGAGAGTGAGGAAATATAGATAATAATAATAATAGCCATTTATTTCCCAATTTTCATACAAAAATCAATATTAGTGAAATCATTTACAATTTACAACATTATTATGATTCATGCAATTTTGTTTCCTTTAATAAATTTCATGTCTATCCCAACAAAATGGCGACGATGCAAAAGTTCTGTTCGAATCCATGGCCCACGTAGTATATAAGTATTAACTAGCGTTATATGAGTAAGTCATGTATGTTAGGGTATGATGGGACTGACATACGCTAAGCGCTAAATGTCCCTTAAATTGTTGTAGAATAAAAAAAGTCATGTCAATATCAGTGTTAATTTCAAATAAAATATTCAAATTTAATTTATAAAATTACAAAATTAAATTTGAGGAAATATAGAGACGCTATAATCTAAATAAATTTCGGTGAGTGTGCACAGGAATTACACGCTTTAATTCCTCCCTCTCCTTTCTACCATCGGACAACCAAGCGGTCGGCGGTTCTTCAACTCATTGTTGTTGATATTCCACGCATTCGAACCAAACGTTTTACTTTGTCTTTGGTAATGCGTGCAGCAAAGAAGTGGAATCATTTGCCGGCGTCATCTTTCTGTCCGAATACAATCTGGGCGTCTTCAAGGTATGAGTGAACAGGCGTTTGTTACGCTAAGATAGTGCGATTTACCATCTAAGGCTACGTCACCACTTACCACCAGGTGGGATTGTATTAACTGGCTTACAAATTAGTTAAAAAAAAACATCATGCCCTGCGCAGAGAAGTCTCCGTTAAGATACAAATACGTACACACACACACACACACTCACACATAATCGCGCGAGTGAGCGCACGCACCCATCAACTCACGTTCACATAAACTCGCACACTTATATAAAACCCTCATTATGTAAATATAAGCTTATTTTCTTGTATTTCTTTAACTAATCTATTTTGTGTTTATTTAATTCTTGCTATAGAAGAGCGGGGCATCCTGCCACAAGTATATATTTACTTAAAAGGATGTTCCACTTACTCCCATACCTATATAATGTATGATCTTTTTAAATAAATAAACAATTTTTCATTCATTTTCAAGATGGCCGCCATGACCGAAATTCGGTTTGGGGGACATTATTAACATTATCAAATTACGAATACTTGGAGGATAAGGGAGTGTAGAAATAAAATTAGTTCTGCGCTAATGATCGGCTGGTGCAATAAATAAAAACTGATTTCAAAAACTAAATAGAACAAAATAATTAGCGTCGATTAACCGTGTAGTGGCGGTGTAAGAATATCCACTACCCCATATCATCCCGCCGGTGTCGTAAGAGGCGACAGAGGGAAACAAGTCAGCAGTTGGCTGCAGCGTCTTCCTAATAACGATTAAAAATAAAAAACTGCAGTTGCCAATTCGCTTACCAAGCGTGGCAACCATTACAAATATACCCCAACGAGGTAATCTATCGGGGAGGCCTATGTTCAGCAGTGGACTTTATTAGCCTATAAAGGTAACGGTAAATATCTTCATACGTTATTATATCTCAATTACTAAGTCGTTTTTTATCATTCCGTACACGAAGCGTCACAAACAGGACCCTATTATTAAGCAACCGCTGTCCGTCCATCCGTCCGTGCGTCTGTCTGTCAGCGGGCAGTATCTCATGAGCCGTAATAGCTAGACAGATGAAATTTTCACAGAATGTGTATTTCTGTTGCCGCTTCAACAACAAATAAAAATAATAAATATAGAAATAAAATAAAAGGGGCTCCTCTACTATAAACATGTATTACAATGGTACGGAAACATTCATGCGCGAGTCCGACTCGCACATGGTCAGTCTTTTTTAAGTTTTTTTACCTTTTGAGTAGACTAAAAGGATTTAGTTATATTACATACGTAATACCTATATAGATACAGTTCACTTGATGGTAAGTCGATGCGATGACCTAATAGACATCTACACCTATTTTGCAGTTTCATTTTTTTATAGTTTCAAAAGATATACTTTAATATAGAATTAGGTTGATAAACGAGCACACAGCCATACTGATGATAAGTGATTAAGAATCTAAATTCAAATGCGTTGTCACCCCTGAGGACTAACACAACACAGCAACTTTAAGCTGCTATTTTACGCTGCTGTTATTCTGTGTGTGAGTATAGTCCTTTCCCGATCTAGTCAACCCATTCGTACTACAAATTTTATTTAACTGCAGGATGCTCTACCGCAGCATGCTCTACTACACAGTCCACCTGATAGTAAGCGACATCAAAATGTTTGCGTGTAGTTTATGAATCAAAATGCAAATGCGTTGACAGCCGTGGGAACTAAGAGGGAATGCCTCTTTTCCAGTAAAAAGGGTCTCAGGTTCTCTACACTCACCATACGAAACACAGCAACAGTAAGTTGCTATTTTAAGCTGTTATTCTGTGAGAGCATAGTCCTTCCCCGATCTAGTCAACCTATTTGTACTAAAACCATAATATAGCTGCAGCGTGCTCTACCACGTATAAAAAACCTAATGTAAAAGTTTTAACGAATAAAAAAAAGTGTATTTAATGTAATGACTCTTTTAGGTGGACTTATTTTAATGGATCAACTGGATGAACTGTTACAAAGGAATCACAAACAGACTCTGCAGCTCAAGAATTTCGTTAATGCTTCTATGGGAAAAGTAAAAAGAATTACATACATTACTAGTTTAGATCGGACGGCTCTATGGTGCAGTGGCTTAGCGATTGAATTGCAGCACTAAGGACCGCGTATTCGAATCCCACAAGGAACAAGTATTTGTATGGCCTACAAATAATTGTTCCGGATCTGGATGTTTGCCCTTGTGCAATTTATGTTTGTGAACTGCCCCCACGATACAGTAGAAAATCCTAGTCTCGAGGTTACGTTTAAAAAAAATCGACAATTATAGTTCTTTAGTGTTTATAGGTAGCTCGCAGTAGCGTGTTAGAAGTAGCGATGTTTGGAGCAGCTCACAGAGTCGCAGAAAGAAACTGGCAAACACATTGATGATATTTTTATAGATTTTTTTACAAGATAAGGGTGAAAAGCGAGCACACAGTCCACCTGATGGTAAGTGGTTGCTATGATCTCCGGTTCTCTACACTCACCATACGTAACACAGCAGTATAAAGCTGCTATTTTACTCTGGTGTTCTGTGAGAGCGTGGTCCCTTCCCGGTCGAGCCGATCTATTCGTGCTACAACTATACAATTAATATAGTATAGAGCCATGCTGCAGCTATATTAGTAGTATAGTTGTAGCACAAATGGGTCGGCTCGACCGGGGAAGGACCACGCTCTCACAGAACACCAACGTAAAATGACAGCTTGATACTGCTGTATTTCATATGGTGAGTGTAGAGAACCGGAGACCCATTTTACTGGAAAAGAGGCATTCCATCTTAGTCCTCACGGGTGATGACGCATCTGCACTTTGATTCTTTATTGAGGATAAATGTAGATGTTTATGGGTCACAGCAACCACTTACCATCAGGTGGACTGTGTGCTCGTCTGTCACCCTATTCTATAAAAAAAAGTTCACTCCAAATTTGTGATGCTTGAGGGGTAGACCCATATAAATTCGGAGAAAAACTTACACCTATAAGAGTGACAAAATGAAGTTTTTAATGTAATTATTTAGACAATCACAACGTAGAGTCCTAACTACGAGACAACCACGACCAGGACATTACACCACATGGAGTGAGGACCTGGTGAGACATGCACGAAATCGATGGATGCAGGTGGCTCTAGACCGTGCTTTGTGGTATTACTTGGCGGAGGTCTATGATCAGAAGAGGAATTGTGAAGGGCTGTAATGATGATGATGATAATTTAGACAATATTTAGATTGTCTTATTCTTTAGTTCACTCAAAAGATAAAAAAATGACTTTCTACGAAAATATAAAGCCAACTTCAATGATCTAAAATAATACAATAATTCCACTTAAGAAATCGAAGCCAAGAAATAGTGTATAGAAGTATTAAAACGCTGACTTTATGATGGGAAATTATTTTATGTCTTTTAAAGTAAGTTAAAGTTACAGCCTATATACGTCCAACAGCTACGCACAGGCCTCCCCTCATTTCTGGGAAGGATTTAGGGCAAGGAAATGTGCACCACGCCGCTTCAATGCGTGTTGACGAACTTCACATGTCTTTTTTTTATTTCTCAGACATGCAGGTTTCCTCACGATGTTTTCCTTCACCGTCGAACACGTGGTAAGTCAGCACTTAAAATTGCAAGTAACAATTTCATTCGTGCCGGCAGAGAATGAATCCGGGTTGGTCGCGTACTGTGAAATTTACAGAGGGCGCTTACCACCTGAGCTACCACGGCTGCCTTATGTTTTTTAATTCTTTTTAAAGATCTAAAAGTAATAAAATAATTTCACAAAAATTTTTTACTTTTAAAAAAAAATTTTTTACAAAAAATAAAAGCCGACTTCAATCGGTTTTTCCGCCCCGGTTTAAATACAAACAAAGAATTTTATCAAAATCGGTCCAGCCGCTTAGGACGAGCTCAGTAACAAACACGCGTACAGAAGAATGAAATACTCGTATAAAGATAAAGACGTTATAAACGAAGTTTGTGTATTTTGTAATAATCATTCATATTACAGCTAGAAGAAAGGCGCTATGCCAGTGAAAATCGTCTGATGGCCACCGAGAATAAGCTGGAGACAGCCATACTCAGATTCAATGCCATACAATGCGAGAACAAGAAGATACGAGAAGAAATTGAGCATATGCTTAAGGATAGGTTAATCCTTTATTTGATTATTTCTCATATAAGTACGGGTAACAAACCAATAGAAGGTTGACAAACGAGCATACAGTCCACCTGATGGTAAATGGTTGCTGTGGCCCATAGACAACTATCCTACATTAAAAATCAAAATGCAGATGTTTTGTCACCCTTGAGTACTAAGATAGATGCCTCCTTTCCAGTAAAAAGGATCTCCGGTTCTCTACACTCACCATACGAAACACAGCAGCGTTAAGCTGCTATTTTACGCTGGTATTCTGTGAGAACGTGGTCCTTCCTCGGTCGAGCTGACCCATTCGTGCTACGACCATACCACTAATATAGCTGCAGCATGCCACAAACACAGCAGTGTTTCGTATGGTGAGTGTAGAGAATTGGAGACCTTTTTTACTGGAAAAGAGGCATTCCATCTTAGTCCTCATGGGTGACAATGCATCTGCATTTTGATTCGCAAACGAGGATAGATGTAGATGTCTATGGGCCACAGCACCACTTACCATCAGGTGGACTGTGTGCTCGTTTGTCACCCTATCCTATAAAAAAATCCACTTACCATCAGGTGGACGTTGTTATTGCTTGTCACCCTTATTCTATAAAACAATAGAATTTTTCTTTAAATAGGTCCAAGTACAATTAACAATAATATATTTTCAGGGCTCTCTTCAACCAAGCCTGGACTAAAATGCTTACTGCACTCAGTAAAGGAAAAAAGTTTCTCACAGATTTATTTGAATCATCGACATTGGCCTACGACCAGAGGGATGAATGGTGCACTAAGTTAAAATCTGTACAGGAAAAAGGGAAAATGGACCAAATGTTACAAGTTCAGGTTGTTTTATGTTTGTTTACTTTTGTTTACCTTTTTTTAAATGACGTTACAATATATTGTCTTTCTGTAACGTGGAGGCAGTTAACATACATAAAATTGCACATGACCAACCAAGAAAGGATCCGCCAATTTTATTTGCTTTTATCGAACAGCATTTAAAATATTTTCCCTTGTTAACAGGAAATGCGAGATTTGCAAAAATCTTTTGATCACGAGATGAGGCTTTATAACTTTCTTTCCAAGAAAGGTTTAATCAGAATAAATAGAAAACAAGAAGAGAGGGAAGAAGAACAAAAGAGAGCAATAGAAGAAGATGTCAGGAAACAACATGATGCTCATTTAAAAATACTGCATGATATACACGTAATTCTTCTTTATTTATTTTTATGTACCTGCTGTCTAATCACAGTAAAAATTACAAAACTAAAATAAAAACAATCAAAATAAATATAAGAAATCATTAACAACAAAATAATATAATTACTTTAAAAATGACATCTAAACAAAGTAATACTGATATCATTTTCCATACTTAATATAATATGTCCTCGGACTTTTGACAAAATTTAAAGTAACGAGTGAAAAGTAAATATCCAGCAAATAATATATGTAGATAATAATCAAAATATTTTCAATTTTGAGTTTTTTAACATTTGAAATGTAATATTTCAATTCTTAAGCCACTTAATTTCAAAAAGAAATTATTTTTCTGTAAAAACCTAGCCCTTTGCAATATTTTGCATACGGACGCTTGCATACTTCTTCCCCCCACCGAACCTTTTCAATCCTATTTCCCACGTTTAATGACGGTTCGACGAAGGAATACAGTGCACTGCGCCCATATATATGAAACGTTATATCTGTGAATACACCTGTGATCTCGCGCTAAATTATAAATCGCTGGTTTAGTGCGGTTAACTGTTTGCCAGGTTCCTGTGCCGATTGGTAACGTACTAGCATTTTGCCTACTATTATTATTTTGCATTTCCTAAATATTATTTCCTTTACTTTCATTTCTACAACATTTGTGAAATATAATAGAACATTAACCAAACTCTAACAAGTAACATTTGGCTAGGATTATACACAAGAAACGGACATAGATAAAATAATAGAAGCCTTCGAACAAAGTGAACAAAAAAGTTTCTCCATTTACAAAATGCTGACCGAGTATTGTGGAGAGAACGAAGTCCTCAGGCGTGATGTGCAACGTATACGACAAAACTTAGGTATTTACATTACACTAGATCAAAACTTGACTTACTTTAACTTACTTGACCCAAACAATTAAGTGCATGACAGTTAAGAAGTCACTAGAAAGAGCGAGGGAACACGGAACGGTGGTTGGTCACTAGGGGAAGCGTGGGAATTGGGGCGGGTGCGGGCATGTGGTGCGGGCGCCGAAACCGCATTCCTGTAATGCGCCTTATTGTTTTTGACAATTTGTAAATAAATGGTGATTGGTAGCGTCTATATATTAAAAATATCTTGAGATATTAATTGTCAGTCCCTGAATAATTTTGTCAAAGAATTTTGTCCTCCGAAGGCGTCAAAAATTATATTTAGATTTAAACCTTATTAGGTTATGTCTTTATGTCACTTGGAAAAAGTCATGCGTCCTGTGGTTGTTTGATGTTAGCTTAATACATTCTCAACATAATGTACCTACCTACATATAGAGAGTTTTTTTTTCTCGATTATATATTTGCATACTATAAATGTATATTTCTGTCATGGCTCCAGGGCCTTTGTGTCATACAGTGACATTCTCAGAAGGGCTAGAACCCAGAGCCGTAAAGCCAGTAAAAAAACCAGTGACTTTTGTTTTAGCTAGTGTTGCCATAACATTAAATGGAATTGTTAAATAGTACTATGATTGAGATAATGTATATGTAGGAAGTTCTTTGTAAGAGACTTATTTTTAACTATATTACTTTTATTTTTATTATTACTAATAGTATAGTTGTTACTAATAATAACTTAATATAAAAATATTTTGTGTTTGTGTGTTGTGTTGGTAGTCATACAAAGCGTATACGAAAATAGTATGAACATAGTAAGTGGCAACACTTGAATAGAGTTAAATCATGTAAGTCATTTGATTTGATTGTCTGCCTCCACGACACAGGAGAAATCCTAGTGTGGGGTAACGTTTTTAAAAATAGAAGCACAGAATAAAAAAAATAAAAAAAAATTCCCAAAATTGTGTATTTTTTTCTGTGGCTTTATTTGAAAAATCATAGAAAAATAATAAAACTCGTCTGTACGAATAAATAAAATTGAAAGTGTCTGTTCGTAATGTCAAAATAACAGCGCTTTACTAAATTCAAATGAAAGTATATATATGACACATATAACAAAAATAAAACTTTTAAAAATTTTGTCTGTCTGTCTGTCTATCTGTCGGTCTCTCTGTCTGTATGTTACGGCTAATCTCCGAAATGGCTGGGCCGATTTTGACGGGACTTTCACCAATAGACACCTGATATTATAAGTAAGTTATGAGTAACTTAGGCTACTTTTATTTTAAAAAAAAGAATTAGGGTTCTGCACAAAATAATTAAAACCCTAAATTAAACGCGGGTGATGTCGCGGGGAACAGCTAGTTTTATATATAAGTTATTTCTAGACGCAATAATTTTGTCAACTATTTTTCTGCTCTTGTTTTTTCTGTGTATCTGTCTGTCTGTTTGTTCCGGCTAATCTTCGAAATGGCTGGATCGATTTTGATGGGACTTTCACTTGCAGATAGCTGATGTTATAAGAAGTAACTTAGGCTACTTTTATTTTGCAAAAGAATCAGGGTTTAGCGTAAATAGTTAAACCCATGAAATCCAATTGTAATAAATTCCAAGCGAGTGAAGTCGCGAGAAACATCTAGTAAATAAATAACATTATATAATAAATAAAATTTGCCATAGTTTACAGGCGGCTTAACAAGCGCAGTATTTGTGAATTGTTATTTGGAAGAGTCATGTCAGCTCAGAGGCTTAATGCTCGCTGTAAATTTAACAGTACGTGAGAAACCCTGGTTCGATCCCCGCCGGCACCATTAGAAACGTTAATTGCAATTATAAGTGCTGATCGACGTTCTCGGCGGTGAAGGAAAATATCGTGAGAAAACCTGCATGTCTCAGAAATTAGAAAAAAAAGACGAAGACATTTGAAGTTCGCCAACACGCGTTATGGCAGCGCCTCGGAAATTTTCTTGCCCTAAATTCCTCTCAGAAACGAAAGGAGGCCGGAACCCAGCAGTGGGACGTATATAGGCTGTAACTTTAACTTTAAATTGTATTAGGAAGACGCTGCCCATTTCCTGGTTTGCTTCCCTCTGTCGCCTCTCACGACTCACACGGAATGATACAGTATTGGATATTCTTACACCGTTTCACCTACTACATGATCAAGATCTTTATTTTCTTACAGTTATAAGTTATATTATTATATACATAGCAGAAACCAAAACAGAAACAAAAACTTTTTTATTCAATATAGATTTTAAATAATACTAATCGATAGTCAGTCTTTTGTTTAATTTACCAATAGCTCCGAAAAAAACTTCTGTCCTGGGATGAACCAGCATGAAACCCAGTGGGACTTGTTTAAAAAAAAAACAGCTGACGATCATATATGTCACACAATTAACAACACAAAACATATTAGAAATAACTAGGTAGCAATCACCTCATTCACAGTACTGTAATTAGAACTGCTACAAAGCACTCAATCGCTTAAATATAAAAAACATACGCGATAAAATATTTGCAAACTAAAAACGATTTGTAGTTAATTATTCTGATGTGAATAGAGGATCGCAGAGACTGGAACGAAATGGTAGAAGAGAAACGAAACAACAAGTTACACGCTTTAAAAGATGAATTAGAAAAACGTAGAATGAGCGTAGATGAAATACGACAGAAATTAGAAAAACATACACAGCAAGTGAACGAATCAATGCGACAAGTAGAGGAAATATTCAAGTAAGTAAAAATTATTTATTAGCTTCATGAATCACAACATTTAATTTACAATCAAAAACTAATACAATACAATACAATAACTTTATTTCAGGCATCAAGGACTTAAAAATTAAGAACATTGATCCATAACGATATATACCTTAACCTAAAAATATATATAAAATATAGACATAACTTAACACTATTTAGGGAACTTTTTTCTTTGGCGCTTCCCTGTATCGGCGAAATACTACCCCAGAGGGCCAGAAATCGGGAGCGAGGAATGTCTCTTTATGTTTTGCAGGAACCTGGAGTACGTAGGATTTGAAGTTCGTTGACCTATTAGACTCCAGACGCTGCAAATGTAAAGAGATCGGATCCTCAATGCGGCATCGGCTTCGTTCTTCCACGAAGCGCAGGACGTCTTCTCCCGACGTACTTTTGTCCAAACGGGAGATGTAGAGTTGTATGGTTGGCTCCACAGCACGCAGAGTTGTACTCGCGTTTATTTTCGCTGTCCCACGCTGGTTACAGACGGGTCGCGACCGACGTCTCTTCTCAACAAGAGTAAACCCGTCCTTATCAATCTTGTCTTGGGTCACCACTGGAACTGATTTTATTTCCACATTCTTCCGCTTTCGACCACAAGAGGGTGCCGTTTGTAAAGATTTTCGGGCAACATCCGCAAACGTCTTCCCTTGTTTTGAGGTTGGCTTCGGCGGAGGAGTACCAATGGGTTCAGTCAAGGGTTGAGGTGGTGATTCAATGACGACCGAGGTCTTATGTTTACGCGAACACTACATATTTAAATAAAACTAGTTTTGGCGGATTTTATGGTTGCTGTAAAGTGCTCGAAACGTCGGGAGCATAAAATAAGTTAATTTGCGCGATAAAATCCGTCAAAATTAGTTTTGCTTGAGTCAAAAACTATTTAATAGCTTCATGAATCACAATACAAAATTACATCTTAAACTTAACTTACAACCAAATGCAAATAACCTGCATCACCACTCACTATCATGTAGGATGATAGTCAAGACTGGCTAAACACTTATAAATGACCCAATATATCTCGCATTATCGAAGTCAAACTTAAAAACATCCAGTTTGAGCTTACTCTGAAAAATAATATGTCAAAAAAACTATTGGTTCCAAAAATTAGGTCTTTACAGAAAATAACCGTTAAAATACTTAGGTACATTATTTATTCTTATTTAATGAAATATTACTCCATTTTATATTTATAGTGGTTGCTTGAAAAGTATGTTAGTTTCACTATAAATAATAATAATAATAATGTCCTCCAGACCGAATTTCGGTGACGGCGGCCAGTCTCAACGGAGACTAGCCATAGGCGCAGGACGGGATTATAGTGCACAAGTGTATGCGCAAGCACAGGTGCACTATCTATTCCCTCACTCTCATAGTCCGATGGGACGGTAAACCGACACGACCGGAGAGAGATCAGGCGCAGGACCAACGGCTTTACGTGCTTTCCGAGGCACGGGGGTGAGACACCGCCAACTTCCTGACTCCGGACTGCTACTGAGAATTTCTTGTTGGAAAAACTCAATAACTGATATTTTTTGGCCTGACCCGGAATTCGAACCCGGCACCTCATGATCAGCAGTCGCATTACTACAACCACTAGACCAACGAAGCAGTCCACTATACATAGCACGTATACATGAAATCTTATGACTGTCACTCACAGCCAGTAATCTATACCCAGAGTGATAGGCAGAGATTAAAGACGTTCATTTAGCAAAATATACTCTTCTTCAATAGAGTTGCTCGTCAGTCTAGAGCATAGACTTAGAATATAAAGGGGCTGGAGTATATTCTAAGTTTGTGGTCTAGAGCGTTTCTTGTTGTTTTTTTTTTTTTAATTATTTCTGCTGCTTCAGTTTGTTTTATTACTCGTTTCTCGTTATTTTTTCCTACGTATCTAAACTACCAAAGCCATTTTTTTCTTAATACTATTTATAACATCATTTTGTGAACCACTATTTTCACTAATCACACAATTTCTCACCCTATCGTTCAGAAACAGACAATAACCATAACCGCATTTGTACAGCGTTAATTTTACTCTTACACTTCTTCCGTCATACCCAATAATAACTACCATTATAGTTATAAGGTCCTATGTGTCCCTACTGCTTGTCGTGCCCTCGAAATATGTTTGGTGTTTTTCAAAATTCGTTTGAAATTTAGGTGGTAGGATGAACTCCTTTGCTACCTCAGAGTCCGCTTGGTTAGGTACTACATCAACTTACATATTGTCCCGCAAGCAGCATTGTATGTGTCATAAAATATTATAATACAATAGTATACTATGGCATGCACTGCCTTGTTCTGATCTGAAGATTATTGAATTTTTTACACCGGTTGTAATACGAATGGGTCGCCTTGACTGGGGTAGGACGCAGTATACCAACGTAAAATAACAACTTAACGCTTGCTCTTTTTACTGTAAACGAGGTATTCCGTCTTAGCCATCAATAGTGACAAGCCATCTGCATTTTGATTTTTAATTGAAAATAAATGGGGATGTCTATGGGCCACAGCATTCACTTACCATCAGGTGGACTTTGTGCTCGTTTGTTACCATTATTTTATAAAAAAAAAATAAGAGTGCCAGTGTAATTGCGGGCTATTAAACATTCTATCTTGGTCTTTGGAGATCACAATGCATCTTAGCTTTATTTGTATCCATGAGCATGTAATAGCATCATGCCATCAGGTGAACTGTAAGTTGGATTTTCAAATTTTTTAATAAAAAATACAGATTTTTTATGCGGAAATCCATTATATAAAAGCTTTTAAAATAGTCACTCCGCAAACATCCGCGCTATAAAATAAAATGATGTGTCTTACCTAGTATGAAGAACACCTCCCGCCCTCCCTCAATTGCGTACACTATCCCCGTCACCACTAACCCCAGCACCGCTACTCCCAACACCACTACACTAGGCAAGACACACCACTGACAACAATACGACACGTGTTTCGCCTCTACACGAGGCATCCTCAGGTGATGTAGACTTTACGGTGGCTGACCGTTAAGTGAGCGGTGAGCCAAAACAACTGCCGTACAGACGTAGTAAATCAGAACATATAATTGCTATTAACAATTTAATTGAAACTGGCACAGATTTAACTTGATTTACTTTAGTACTATACGAATTTCAAGTAAGTGCTTATTTTATGTTATATTTTATAGTCACACTCTCGACAAGAATCTTACAATTTAATATATTGAGCCAGCGTCGAAATTACTTCGTATGAAAAAATTGCAGATTATATTATCTAGCCAAGCAAATTTAAGACCGTTTCTTCTTTCAGCATGCTCGAGTGTTCGTTGGACCCGTTCCATAATCTATTAGGAGATAAGCATCCTTCGGTCCACTGTCTCAATTTAACTTTCTGTCTTATCAATGAAAAAATCAAGGAACTAGTTCAAACGGCGTATTATTATGTAAGAATATTAGAAATTTATTGAGTCTATTTTATATTGTACACGACACTGTAATTGTTTTCAAGCTTAATGGGAACCTTAATTTTTAAACGTTGCCCCGACAATGCGATTTACCAACTAGAGCTTCTTTACCCCTTACTTAATTATGTCCTCCAGACCGAACTTCGATCACGGTGGCTAGCTATTTTTTATAGGAGAGGAGGCATGTAAGCATGTGGTTTACCCAATGGTAAGTATCGACTACCGCCTATGAACAACTGCAACACCAAGGGAATTGCTCGTTTCTTGAAGGTCCCTTATTCGTATCGGTTCGGATAAATCGCCAAATAAATCGCACAGTAGTAAATCGCCAAGCATCCAGATGATGTGCATGGTAACGTAAGTTTTGTTACGATGTGCGTTGATGAAATTTTCCCATGGAAAATGCGATAAAAATGCAAAGGGATGCAACATCATTTCGCAGTGCCGGTGAATCGAGCCAATCAGAGATTACTCGATCGTCGACAATTCTAGTCGCTGAGATGAGAACAGTATTCAATTTGAAGCCGAACCTACGCCTTGTAAAGTTGTAAGCAGTGTGCTGCCTTGAAACACTGTCCCGCTCTGCTGAGCACGCCTCTGCATTTTGGCAGAACAGGGTCATATTGCACGAGTGTGTGGTGAGCATAGGTGTACCCTATTCTCTATCTCTCTCTCTCTCTCTCTCTCTCTCTAATAATGCGATGAGATGCACTCCGACGCGACCGGAGAGAGATCAGGCGCAGGAACAACGGTTTTACGTGTTTTCCGAGTCACTGGGTAAATCAACGCTAAATTCCTTACTCTGAGCTGCTACTGAGATATTCTTGACACAAAATCCCAAGAACTGATTTTGGCCCGACTTGGGATTCGAACCCTGTTTCTCATGAGGCAGTTGGAATTGTAGTTATGCACTGACATATACTAAGTGAATAACTCTTAGTTTTAATCAGCGTTTACATTATTATGACAATAATATCGTCAATTCAACTGTGTGAAAGTTGATTTTAATAAATAATTTCTAACAGGAACGCCATGTTCAAAAAAAAAGCGGTGGTACATCACGATTGAAGAAGTTTACCGTTCACCCGGAACTACCGGAGTGTTGGACAGCCGTACCAATTAATGTGCTCGTCCCGGCCGATCCCTGCCCATCGTAAGTGCTCATGTCTCTTAAAATAATTAATAGAATCAGGCGTTACTTTGCGGAAAACCATTATATTAAAGTTGGTTAAAATTACCTTGCGTACATCTACTCAATAAAATAAAATGATGTGTCTTACATAGTTTGAAGAGCTACCCCCCCCCCTCCCCTCCCTCAATTGCGTGCACTATCCCCGTAACCGAAAATACACGTGTTTCGCCTCTACACTACACGTGTTTCGTGTTGTATTTTCGTCAGTGGTGTGTCTTTCCTAGTGTACTAGTGTTGGGAGTAGTGGTGCTGGGTTAATGGTGACGAGGATAGTGCGCGCAATTGAGGGAGGGCGGGAGGTGCTCTTCAAACTAGGTAAGACACATCATTTCATTTTATCGAGCGGATGTACGCAAGGTAATTTTTACCAACTTTAGTCTCTTAAAATACCACTGACAACAACAAAAGAGCACCATTTATTAAACAAGTACACGAGAATCATAAGTTTTTTGTATTTTATATCAAATTCTCGACGATTTGAGAGTTTTGCGTTTGCATGGGCGCACGGTGGGTACTATTCTCGTAAGTATAATCTGGCTTTGATCCATCTTTTTTTCTAGAATAAGGGTAAATAGAATGCTGTAGACCATAGACATCTACATCTATACTCAATTAAAAATCAAAATGCAGATGTGTTGTCATCCCTGAAGATTAAGACGGAATGCCTCATGTCCAGCGAAAAAGATCTCCGGTTCTCTGTCTACACTCACCATACAAAACACAGTAGCATTAAGCTGCTATTTTACGGTGGTATTCCGTGAGAGCATGGCGTTTCCTCGATCGAGCCGACTCATTCGTGCTACAAACCATAATAGAGCTGCAGCGTGACTCTACCACGTTATAAATCTACACTAAATATAACTTTATCTACGGGCCTATCGCCGTACATCGCCTTGTTCTCTTAAATGATTGAATCTGTAACTAACCACTGGCGCATTAGGTACCTCAAAGAGTATCAGCCAGTAACATTGTAACGTTTCCGCCAGGATCGCTCTCCAACTAGTGCTTAGTGTTTTGGCAGTTAGTTTGAATATTTATTTATTTGTTTTAGGAAGGCTTACAGACCACAGATAATAAGAATTCCTAATTACAAGCCTCCACATATTACTTTCATCTGACTTTATGCAAATTTAAAGTACGCCAAGGATTGCTCATACTACTCACAAATGCACGAACCAAAAAACGCATAGGTTAAACCTGCCGTGCGACAAAGGAGTTCGAGTCATGCTAGACCTCTTTTACTGGAAACGATTGGATTCCATCTTAGTCCTCAGGGGTGACAACGCATCTGCATTTTGATTCGTAATCGAGAATAGATGTAGATGTCTATGGGCCACGGTATCCACGTACTATCAAGCGGACTGTGTGTTCGTTTGTCACTATTATTCTATACAAAAAATTGCTGCTCGCAACTGTGAATGATATACTCTCTGTTTAGCAGTTTTCTTACAGATAATATAAAGCTGGTTAATATATCGTGTTTAAAAAAAAGTGCTGCTTTCGAAGCTTCCTTAATAGGACTTTATACCACTTCACATCTAAATTTGTTTATTATCGTCTCATTTATCCCGGAAAATTCCACTACTGGATACTCGTATGGGTCGTATGTAGAATATTTATTGACCACATGTAGTTTTAGTATATTTAACTCATTATTCTAGTACAGTTATTTCTTTTATTGTTTTTACCTAGCTTTCACCCGCGAATTCCTGACTGTCCCGACGGGAGGGTAATGTTTTTCATATTGATGTATGTTTATATGTATGTATGTATGTATTTATTTATTTTTTGGCACGCTCTGTAGGGGGATGAGTCGCTCGCGTCCGTAGGCTTGGACCACCTAACCCTAGGCCCACCCTACACGTGTCCCCCGGGTGGTGCTAAACGAGCGACAAAGCCGAAATGACAGACTCGGCTCCTCGCCGTGTGGTAGCGGCGTAAAATCTACCACCCCTTATGAGCCAACAATTTAAAGAAATAGCCCCAAGTTCCCGGTGCCCCTTTAATGGGGCAAGGGTAAAGGGGGAAGAATCTGCGGGAGGAAAACCGGCGACGAGGTTCGCCACCCGTCACGTCCTGTCTCCCGGAGGGGCGAAAAGTGGATTGCGGAGGCCCGTCTGGCTACGCTGAATGTATGTGGAGCAATGAATGATAAGATGGATGAAATATGCGAAATGATGAATGATAGAGGAATAGATGTATTATGTGTGAATGAGACGAAACGAAAGGGAAGAGATGTTACTGCACATGGCATGTATATCGCTTACTGGTCTGGTGTAGACTAGACCGAGCGGGCATGCCAGGGAGTCAGTGTCATCCTTTCAGAAAGAATGGGTCAATGTGTGAAAGAGTATGAATGTGTAAGCCCAAGACTGCTGTGGATACGAATGAAAGTGGGCTTAAAAAAGTTGTTTGTGCTTGGAGTGTACGCCCCAGATATGTCTAAGCCCACTTATATCTGAGAGCAGTTTTGGGACATGGTAAGGCTTGTGTTGACGAAATGTAAGGAAAATGAAAATATTATTATGTTAGGAGATTTTAATGGATGGGTTGGGGTGAAGAAGTCTGGTTATGAAAGGATATTAGGAGCGTTTGGCGATGAAAAAATAAATGAGAATGGTGAAGACCCCTTTATATGTGTGGAAAAGAATATTTTTGTGGCGAACACTTTCTTTCGCCATAAGAGAAGTCACATGTATACTTGGGAAAGAGGGGATGATAGAAGCATGATAGATTTCATAATTGTGGATGAAAGAATGAGGAGCGCAGTGGTAGATACAAGGGTTTACCGTGGGTCCAACGTAGGAACGGATCATTACTTGGTCTTATGCCGAATTAATGATCTATTCAAGCGTTGGCGGCATCGGACATCTGTGTCTACCACTGCGTTACAGCGTATAAGAATAGAGAGGTTACAAGATGAAGATGTGAAAGAGAAGTATAAATGCAGACTGAGGGAAAATATAAGTGTGTTGAATGAATTTTGTATGAATGATTTAGACTTGAAGAATGTATGGAATAGTGTTAAGAAAGTTTTGGTGGATATAGCCACCGAAGTATGTGGTGTAAGTAAGAGAACGAATGAAAGGAAAAGTACTACGTTGTGGTGGGACGATGAGGTACGGATGGAAGTTGAAGCAAAGAAAAAGGCATAGCTAGATTTACTAGCAACCAAAGCTGGTAATTCTGGCAGTATCAATGATGAGATTGAAAGAAGAAAGGCAGACTTTAGACGTATAAATAAGAGAGTAAAAGAAGTTGTTGAAAGGAAAAAGAAAGAAAGGATAGATAAGAATGATAGAAGAATATCTGATAACTTCTAGGCAAATATTAAAATGTTCTGGAAGCTCGTAAGAACTGCTAGGGGAAATTCAAAACAGCCTAGAATGAATGATATACGAGACGAGAATCGCTGCATGCTGAATGATGAAGTTTCAAATTTAAAGAGATGGAAGGAATACTTTGAAAGCATGTTTAAGAGTGAAGAGTCGTCTGAAGTAAGTGAAATAGAAATTCGGGAAGAAGTGAAGAGAGGTAGGGAGATCAGTCTAGATGAAATAATGAAAGCAATGAAAAGCATGAAAGCAGGTAAGACAGCCGGATATGATAGAGTATCACTCGAAATGCTAAGGGCTGGAGAGGGTGTGGTTGCAGGCCTGCTGTACACCTTGTTTACAACAACACTTGCAACACACTTAAGCGGGTACCGGAAGACTGGTGCAAAACCGTTATAGTCCCAATATATAAGGGAAGGGGGTCGCAGCAGGACTGTAAAAACTACCGTGGTATCAGCTTGCTTAGCATTGTGGGTAAACTGTATGCTAAGGTGTTAATTGAAAGAGTTATGGAAGAAACTGATGGAAAAATTTGGGATGTGCAAGCTGGATTTAGAAAGGGGATGGGATGTATGGATCAAGTCTTTTCCATGCGCATGATTGCGGAGAAATTTTTGGCCAAAAACCAGAAAGTTTTTTGTGCGTTCATGGACTTGGAAAAGGCTTATGACAGAGTGGACAAGAACGTGTTACGGCAAACACTGACCTCATTTGGGTTGAGCGCTGGTCTGATACAGGCATTAAGGTCTCTTTATAGGGACTCTAGTACTTGTGTCAGGATCAACGGGGCCTACTCGGACTGGTTTTACATTCAAAAAGGTGTCAGACAGCGTTGTGTAGCTTCTCCGTGGCTGTTTAACCTATTTATGGACAGCTGTTTGCAAACTTTAAAGTTGAAGAATGTGGGTTGAGAATGGGTGAGTTAACTGTCACATGCCTTTTGTACGCCGATGATCAAGTCATATTTGCATCGTCGGCGGCCGAGTTGCAAATGATGGTTACTTTAATGAACTGTTCATTAAAAGAAAGGGGTATGAAAGTGAAGGCAAGTAAGACGAAAGGGATGGTTTTTGAAAGAGAAGAAAGTAAAACATTATGTGAAATAAGAATAGAAGGGGAGTGATTGAGCAAGTGGATGAGTTTGTATATTTGGGATGTTTATTTAGCAGGGATGGTAGATATGACAAAGATATAGAACGACGAGTGAACGCAGGAAATAGAGTTAATGGGGCTCTACACGATATTATGAAGAGTCAGAATGTGTCAAAGAAAGTTAGAGTCAGTCTAGGTAGAGTTAAACGGCCGGTAGCTTGCTATGCACTGATTTATTAACAGAGGGCGCGTGGGCACAGCCACGCATTGTAATACATAAGTATACAAATGTATATACATACATAACAATTCCCCACCCTATTTTAGAATACAAGAATAAAATAAATTATAATAAAGAAGACAACTATAACCTAAAAGAAACGCTTATAATCAACCTTGGGACGGGGGCGCAGTCTATTTCTAGTGGCTTCGATTCGACTACCATTAAAATCTGCTTCTGCTTCGTGATACTTGTCGTCCTCCTACGACCGAGGCGGCACAGGGTTCTCTGGTTCATCACTTTCCCCTCGACGTGGCGATCCTTCTCGCTCTGCCGTGGTAACTAGGCCGGGGTCTATGGTAGACGCCGGATGAAGTGGTGACGATGATGATGGTCATGGTGATGGTGATGCCGGCAGTGATGGCGGTGGTGTAAAAGTGTTTCCGGTGTCGGAGGAAGTAGAACTGGCTATATCGTATATCTTCGGCCATTTAGAGTACGAATCAATGACCACTAAATACATTCGACCGGCTATGGGACCCAGGAAATATGTACGCGGGTGAAAGGGTGGTGTGCCCGAGGCCAGGGGGCAGGCGGCACGCGCGAAGGGGATAGCCGCAGGTTGATGCATACCTCACATGTCCCTATCATATGCTCCACGGCCTCATCTACGCCCGGAAGCCAAAATCTGGATCGAACTTCGGCCTTGGTTTTTACGATACCCAGATGTGTTTTGTGTAACTCAGCTAACACCCTTTTACGCAACGTCTCGGGAATCACGACCTTATGACCTCTCATTAAACATCCATTTTCAACCGAGAATTGCGTTCTATATGAAAAATAAAGCCTAAGGTACAAATCACTTATTTTCTTAGGCCAACCGTGTTTAACATATTCGGTTACTTTAGATACAATTTTGTCCCTTTTTGTTTCATCTCGTAGTTCCGAAACCGTAATCGGTAAACTCGTGTCGACCACAAAACACACGTAAGCCGCGCGGTCGCTCGAAGTGAAGTCGTCCGCAGTGCACGTATCGAGTGCGCCTGCACCCGTGTCAGTCGCGCGCCTCGCCTCCGAAATACTTGAGCGAGACAAATAGTCGGCGCTCTTATCAGCGCTTCGTATATACTCGATCGTATAGTTATACGCGCTTAGAAACATTGCGTACCTCTAGTCGTACCTCTACCGTAGTCGATTCGCCGATACTTCCGGAATGCCTTTGTACGGTCCGAATATCGAAACTAGTGGCTTATGACCTGTTCTTAATAGTAACGGATTTGTTCTACCGTACAAATACTGATGGAAGCGCCGAATTCCAAAAATAATAATTGCGGTCGCTTCTTTCTGTATTTGTGAATATCGTTTCTCTGCGGTATTTACAGTTCGCGATGCAAACGAAATCTGTCTTTCTTGCCCGTCGGAACCTACTTGCGACAGTATCGCACCCAAGCCAACCGCAGACGCGTCTACAGTCAGGATTAGCCTTGCTTCGGGGTTGAAGTGGGCGAGTACCTGGTCTGAAGCTAATAACAGTTTTATTTTAGTGAATGCCTCTTGATGATCTAGACCCCACGACCATTTTACCCCCTTTTTTAGCAGATTATAGAGTGGGCTTAAAACAGACGCTGCTCTTGGTACAAAGTTTCGATAATAATTTACTAGGCCCAAAAACGATTGCAGTTGGCTTATATTTAATGGTGCAGGGGAGTCTACTATTGCTTTAATTTTATCTGGAGACTTTTTCAACCCATTTTTATTGATAACATAACCCAAGTAGTTAACATCATCTTTATAGAACTCGCACTTCTCCCTTTGCAAGGTCAATTCTGCTTCTTGTAATGTCTGCAACACCGCCCGGAGGCGTGCAGCGTGCTCGGCGTCGTCACGCCCCGTAATGAGCACGTCATCCAACAAACACAGCACGCCCTCCTGTCCACCAACTAGACCCTCCATCGCGCGCTGAAAAATTGCTGGAGCTGGAGCAAGCCCAAAGACTAGCCTAGTATACTTGTATAATCCACGATGAGTATTAATTACAGTGTTCCTTTGTGACTCGTCATCTAGCTCAAATTGGTTATAAGCCATAGATAAGTCTAATTTGGTGAATTTTTTTTCCACCATAAAGCTTTGCAAACAATTCCTTGGCAGTTGGCAGAGGATACTGGTCGATAATTAATTGCCTATTAATACTAACCGAGTAATCGGCACACAAGCGAATAGTGCCATTTCTTTTTAAAACAGGGACTATAGGGGACGCATAGTCTGCGTGGTCAACCGGTTTTAATACCTCTAACTCAACCATTCTATCTAGTTCACTGTTTATTTTATTCCGTAGGGCAAATGCAATCGGTCTCGCTTTAAAGAAAACTGGTTTGCATTATCTTTTAACTGTAAGTGCACCTTATGTTTAGTAAAACGACCTAATTTACCCGAAAAAAGAACTGGAATTTGACATTGCAGTTCTTCTACGGAGGGAAGGGTACCCTGACAGTAATTCACCGTTGATAAAACTGATGATAACTCTAATTGGAATGTAGATATAAAGTCCCTACCGAGGAGCGGCGGCCCGCCGTCCCGGACGACGTACACGTCGAGCGTGTGTAAGCGGTTAGTATACGGGCATATAGTACACGGGCAACCGGATTGTGCCTACACATGTTATGCCATTGCCCATGTAGCTCATCAACCTTTTATGCGGAACGATCAATGGAATATCTTTAAAATGAGACTTATATAATTTTTCCGGTATCACAGTGACGGCGGAACCGCTATCTATTTCAAACTTAAACGCCGTTCCACGAATAAACACGGTCTCGACCATCGGTTCACCCCGCAACGAACGAATTTTAAATACCTTACCATCATCACCGATGTCTTCGTCTCCGGCTCCATTATCTACATAGTTAACTTTATTTGACGTACACATTCTACGTAGATGGCCTACGACGTTACACTTCCTACATACGAAATCCGCATACCGGCACTCCGAAGCCTTGTGATTCGTATGGCCACATACTTTACAACTTTTGTTTTACCGAAAGATCACTTTTTACACTTCTTGCACCTTTATCTCTTGATCTAATCTTGTACAACGCGCCAGTAGAACCTGCGGACGCGTCGGCTGTACTGGCACTGGCGATTGCGGCTGATTTCGCACAACGGACGTTTTCTACAGCTTTCGTGAGAGTTAGATTTGTAATATCTTGTGCGTAAGGTTTCTCTTTCTCAAGACTAGGCATCATTCCCATAATAAACCGGTCTCGTAGGGCCTCTTCGATATCATGGAAAGCGCAGCGTGACGTAAGACCGCGCAGTCTCGCGGCCCACTGTGAATGTGTTGCTGCGATGCTGCATAGAAGTTGTGTCGTTCCGTGAAACCGACAATCTTCGGGTAAAAATGGATGTCGAGGATTCGTAGGATGTCTTCGTAGGGCACCTCCTGCGCATCCTTGGGTAAGGCTAAATTCTCAGCGAGCGTATAGGTACCCTCCGAGAGTGCACTTAACAAAATTGATCTTCTCTTTTTCCCGCTCAGATCCGTCGTGTTATTAATTTCATTTGTCAAGAACCACTGATTTAAGGCTTTTACAAGTTTTCCACTCCTGTAAATCGTGGTTAAACCTGGATAATATTCCAAAATATGAATTAGCCATTTTTAATTACTTTTTACGCGGGTACTCGTCGCCAATGTTAAGTATGCGGTCAGGGAGCGAGTTAAACGGCCGGTAGCTTGCTATGCACTGGTTTATTAACAGAGGGCGCGTGGGCACAGCCACGCATTATAATACATAAGTATACAAATGTATATACATACATAACAGTAGAATAAAGGCTGTAGAAATGCGGTCATTACGTAGTATGCTAGGGCTGAATTTGAATGACAGGGTGAGAAATAGTGTGATAAGAGAAATGTGTGGTTTGCAAGATGACGTTGTGATTAGGATTAAAAAAGGAATGCTTCGGTGGTTTGGTCACGTAGAAAGAATGAACGAGAAAAGAGTGACAAAGCAAATTTATGTTTCAGAAGTAAACGGCAAAGTCGGGAAGGGACGCCCTAGACGAACATTTTTTTTTTAAGTTAAAAAAACGTTACCACCACACTAGGATTTTCTCCTGTATCGTGGAGGCAGTTTACAAACACAAATTGCACAAGGACAAACATCCAGACCTGGAACAATTATTTGTAGGCCATACAAATACTTGTTCCGTGCGGGATTCGAACCCGCGGCCCCCAGCGCAGCAACTTATTGCTAAGCCACTGCGCCACAATTTATCGACCAAATCGGCGATACATTGAAAATGGGCCAGATTAGGAGTACTCTTAACCGACGAGCGTGTATACGTAAATATATGGATGTAAAGGAGGCGGGAGAGGTGTGTCAGGATCGCGCCAAATGGAAATCCGTAGTCTCTGCCTACCCCTCTGGGTGACAGGCGTGAGTGTTTGTATTGTAGCCTAAATTCGTCTTAGTTGTGATATCTTCTCAGGTGCGTAGAAGCCCGATGGATGTCACGCGTAACAGACGTCCCCGAGGTACCTATAGATGAAGATGGGGTGCTAGCAGCTATTGAAGACCTTACCAATGACCCAGCTTTCGTGAAGAGTGACCACATTCACCCACTGACAGAGTGCCGAGTGCCCCGCAGTCGACTGATACTGGCTAGACGATATAATATGCAAAATTAATCAAGATAATCATTATTAAACAATTTTACTTTTATAGAGTAGAATTTTTATTTAAATTGTCCTCCAGGTTGAATTTTGATCACGGTGGCTAGTCTCTGTTGAGATTGGATGCCGCCTGCAAAGTACGGGTGTGTGTGCAATCACAGGTGCATCTTACTGTCCTAGTTCGGTCGGACGGCAATCTGACATGACTGGAGACTTAACTGATTTTGGCACGACCCGGAATTCAAACTGGGGACCAAATGAGCAGCAGTCGCTTTTACTATCACTAAGCTAACGAGACAGTCAAGTTGAATACACTGTCTTTATCTATGAAAACAGATGAAGCTTTCTATGGGCCACAGCGTTCCCTTGCCGTCAGGTGTACGGTGTGCTCGATTGTCACAATTAATTCTTTAAAAATTTTGGGAGATGGAGGAAAAGGCCTTGAAGAAACTTACTTGTCTCGCTGATATTATCCAATATATAAGAATAATGTTTGTTTGTTCGTACTACTACACTGCCATACTGTTCATCACATTGCGGTATAACTTTGTCAACTTATTGCTTGCACTTGCGTGAATTTTATAGGCATAGTACAATTAACTTAGAGTAGGTTGCGCGCATATGGTGCCGACAATATAGATCATTCGATTTCATTTATTTTATTATCATTCTTAATTAAACAATATAACTCTTCAAAAATTTAAAACAATACTTCCACAATTATTTCTTCCGTGGCAGCAATGCGCCGGGAACCAGCAATTCTATATCTATACAAATAAATAACATGCATATGAAATATGTTATTTATTTCTATAGATATAGATACATATATATGGTACTTATAACAAATACACAATTTTTTAAATTTTTGTCTATCTGTCTGTTTGTTCCGGCTACTCTCCGAAACGGCTGGACTGATTTCTATGGGACTTTCACTGACAGATAGATGATGTTATAAGGAGTAACTTAAGCTTCTTACACCCGTATTCAAGAACGATACTATGCGTACGCACAGTAGGCTTTAACGCACAGTGAACGAAATTTTGTTTCATAAACGTCACTTGAGTGTTAGACGACACTATGCGCTCATTATAATGAACGCACAGATAAAGTAGCTCGCTAACTACTTTACGCTACGCATAGTGCGACAAATCAACGCAAATGTCCAACTGGTATGGGGTATATAGCTTGTTTGTTGATTTGTGATACGCTGATTTGTTTTGTTTGAATAATTGCGATGGATTACAGCAGCGAAGATGATTTTGATAATTATACCTGGAGAGAATAAGCGTGCAAAGAACGATTATCACAAGAAAAGTGATAAGTGACTTTCAAAATCTATTTGATTATTACAGTGCCAACAAATTTAATAGTCGCTATAGGTTTTCAAAAAATATCGTAATAAATATACTTCTGCCTCTAATAAATGCAGAAATTTTTGAAATTTACCAGTAGAAACCTTCCAGTGCCTCCTATTTACCAGTTACCAGTGGCCTTAAGATTTTATTCATCTGGGAGTTTCAAGGTTTGTAATAATAATTCATTTAATCTACCTATCAACAGTTTCAAATCCACATTATTTTAATGATATTTATGCATGAGTACCTATAATAACAATACCAGTAACTTCTTTTAACTGAAAGAAAACAACACGTGTTATTATTTGCACAAATTTGACAACGAAACAAACAGAAACATAAAATGTAATTTAGACGTTGATCTGTCATTCAACTCGAGTGAAGTCGCGACACAACGTTAACCAATCACGGCGCCCCATTCAGTGCTATGTGTCCGCACAACAAAGGGTCCACTAAGTATTGTTTATGAAATGAACGGCCTGCCATGACGGACGCAGTGAGAAATACCTTACTTAGCACAGTGTTGCTGCCATACTTATGTATGTGTCATTCGTGAATACAGGCCTTATATTTTAGAAAAAGAATTAGGGTTCCGCGCAAAATAATTAAAACCCTAAATTACATGCGGGCGAAGTCGCGGGGAACAGATAGTAAAAAATAAAAAACAGATAAATCTACCTTTAGTCTACCTTTTCATTCGTCGGCCATGAGCCTACCTGAATATATTTAAGTTAAAAGATTGTAAGAAGCTCCTACCTTGATTCCGTCGAAATATGGACGGTGCTGCAGTCGCTTCAGCAGCGCCAAGTTGACTGTCGGTATATCGAAGCGCTGAAATGTTTGTACAGTAGGGCTACGATGGCTATCCGAGTACAGAACCAGAGTGCGAAACCTATCCAATTGCAGAGACGTATAAGACAGGGTGACGTTATATCCCCGAAACTCTTCACCGCAGCCTTGGAAGAAGTTTTCAAGCTACTGGACTGAAAAGAATACGGTATTAACATCAATAGCTAGTACACTACTCATCTTCGACTTGCCGACGATATACTCCTTATGGCAGAATCACTGGAGGACCTAAGCACTATGCTCAATGACCTCAATAGTATCTCCCAACGGATAGATCTTAAGACGAACATGAACAAAACAAAGATCATGTGTAACGTCCATATCACACCTATGCCGATAGTTGTTGGGAGCACTAAGCTCGAAGTTGTTTACGAGTATGTATACCTGGGACAAATAGTCCAACTAGGTAAGTCCAACTTCAACCAAGAGATCAATCGACGGATTCCACTCGGCTGGGCAGCGTTCGGGAAATTACAGTACCCTACGATACACTACCTCAAAATCTGAAAACGCGATTATACATCCAGTGCGTGTTACCAGTGATGACTTATGGATGTAAGACGTGTTGCTTCACTGCTGGCCGTATGAGGAAGCTCAAGGTCAAGCTATGGAGAGGGCTATGTTTGGGGTTTCTCTGCGTGATAAACATAGAAATGTGGATATCCACAGTAGAACCAGAGTGACCAACTTAGCCCAACGGTTTAGTAAGCTGAAGTGGCAATGGGCTGGCCATATAGCTCGAAGAACCGACAACTGATGGAGAAAAAGGTTCTCGAGTGGCAGCCTCGTACTGGTAGACGAAGTATAGTGTCGACCTCCCACTGGATGGAGTGACGATCTGGTAAGATATGCAGGAAGTTGATGGATGGATGGTGGCTCAGGTCAGTGTTTTGTGGCATTCCTTGGGGGATACCCATGTTCAGCAGTGGACGTGTGAAGGGCTGGAGTGATGATGATAATGATGAGTTAAATATAATTAGGTTAATGTGTTAGAAGAATATATTTTTAACACTTACCTTTTATAAGAAAGAATAAAATAGCTTCATTATTTTTCTATAAATATTTTAAAATTACTATAAAACTCCGCGTTTGGATCTATTTAAATTAGACCACTGCCACTAGGCTTACCAGATAAAGAACACTTCTTAGTACTTTATTAATTAAAATATTTTATTATTATTTTTGATGGATGACAGTATTTTAAGCTTCAAACAATGTTCAAAGACGATAGTAGAATGGATATAAATCAGGAAGTTATGCATTATATCCACTAGTGCTCGATATATCCAGCATAACAATGTTCTTGGTGATTCTCCAAAGGCACGAACATCCCGTTGTGGACTCTGCAATTGCATAAAGCAACGAATAATCAAGTTTGCCAATGGTGGAAATAAATAGCGGATCATGTGGAACGAAGCAAAGTAGTTAAGGCTGGGAATGAAGAATAACAAGCAAAACTTATCGGAAATACGTCGTCTTTTTTTTTATAGGATAAGGAATACCAATGATATCCTGAATTGCATACGCATGTTGAGTATCCCTTATGCGGCACAAGCTATGATGCTTCCTCTGACGCTGCAAAAGTGGGTAGCCAGCGCAGTGGAGCGAAAAATTACACACATGTTCCCGATCATCAAACAAAAGAATTGAGCCACTACATCATACGTATTTCAAAAATATTTGTGGGTTTAACAGGCCTAAAGTCTTTGCCAGACTACGGACTCATTTATTGGGGATACCAGTACCTATGCTTGTATCAAATATACCCTACCTTATGATAATATTACAGTTGATAAAATCCCCAGAACTGAAATGTTTTAATAAAAGGTGCACTGTTTTAAGTTGAAAGTTGACAGCGTCATGGTTCACCAGTGTTTGCAAGCGCCATGAAAATAGCAACTGTGCATGCTTTATTGTGCAAATATTTTATAACTGCGATTTAAGCAATGTGCCATTAAACATAGCAAGAATAACGAACATAAGTCATTCTGAGAATTAGAAAGGGCTCTAAATATTAATAAACAAGACTGTGTGAATTACACATTGAGCACGAATTTCCATTTCTGCGTGCTACTCCAGAAGACAAATATGAACCTGGTACTGTAGAGATTATAAGATAAACCCGAAAAAGCAAGCAAACAAAAGAAAATTGACTTTTAGTTGCATAAATCAGAATTTTCAAAGTCACTACAAAAAACAAACCACGTTCAGGGCCAATAGCGAGTAACTGTTCAAAACGTGTATGTATTGCCATGTGGACAGTCAAGAGTCAAAAAAATACGAAATTATTAAGAGAGACTACCGATTCTGGAAGGACAACATGAAGGGACCTTTAGTAAATTTCTACAATAATTGCTTATTTTCGAAGCTAGTTGACCTTCGACACGCCAGGTGTTAAATCGCGGTGACCAATGACCATAGCTACTTACACGCCAGTAAAACATATTGACTGAAAAAATAACGTGTAAAAGCATTCAATTACTTGGTTTATTTTTTTAAACTTTTCCTAGTAAAATACTGCATTAATATTTTTTGATTAGTGACCTATAACCGAATAGTTTATTTGTATATAACGTATGTTATTAAGCTTTTTAAAGTTATATTTTTTTTTAAATGCTTTGCTGGCGAAATAAAAACGAAATACATAATGCCTGTCTTAGTTTAAACGTGAAAGTAAACTTATTAATTTAAGTAAGTAAACTTGTGGGAATCAGATAACATATTTTCACAGAATACCAGCGTAAATAGCAGCTTAACGCTGCTATGTTTCGTATGGTGAGTATAGAGAAACGGAGACCCTTTTTACTGGAAACTAAGCATTCCATCTTAGTCGTCACGGGTGATAACGCATGTACATTTTGATTCATAACGATGATAGATGTAGATGTCTATGAGTAACACCAACCACTTACCGTCAGGTGGACTGCGTGCTCGTTTGTCACACTTATCCTTTAAAAAAAGATTGTTCTTTCAACAAGTAACTGTAATTAATTTGTTTAAAGTAATAACTTTAAAATATTTTGCTGGTGAAATAAAAAACGAAGACACGGAGTAAATAATACATTTTTTTGGTGTAAGTTTATCACTTCTTTCTTGATCTTGTGATTTCAAAAGTACATAAGTTGAGGCTACTCTCTCTTTCATCTGTCCCTGAAAAATATAAAGTAATAATAAACTTAAATGAATTTTAAAGACCTATTGATCTTAACAGAGACAAGCCAAATACGCAGGAGATATTATTAAAGTGCATCAAGTGTCTGAGGATACAGATGCACTGGCTATTCTCTCAAACTCGGTATGTTAAGAAAACGATCACGGTCAAAAACGGTCCATAGACTACCCACAGCAAATGCAGCTTAATCTCGCGGATCTATTGAGCCGCGTAGCTGTTATTTAACCACGAGTTCCCCTTCTTCAAGACTAACGCTGTAGGCGATGAACGACGCGATCAAGCCCTCAGCACACTGTCGTTGGACATCAACAATGAATTGGGCATCATTGTTGTTAAATAGGATAATCTCAAGATTTTTTATTTTTAATGTACTATAGTCTTATGATGTATAAAAATATATCTCTATTTTTATCTAAAGTTTTTGAATGTAGGAAAGGCTAATTTTAATAAAATTGTTTTTATTCTGCTTTTTCGTATAAACTTGTCAATAGCCGCGTACTGACCGAGCGGCGAGCGGCTTCGCAAGGCAGCCTCGGACATTTGCCGCAGTACGCATGCCGCGCGAGGCAGCCTCGGTCTGTAAGTTTTCTAATCCGAGGCTGCCTCGCGCGGCAAGGCCGAGCCACCGTGAGCATCGACGCTCAGTTTAACTTGAAGTCGAATAGAGACCGCGCGTGCGTATAGTTTGCCCGAGACCACCATGAGGCCGCACATTCGGAAAGCTGTCGCTACCACTGCCTTTTTAATAATTCTAAGGCTTGCAAAAAAAAGAAAACAGAAAACTAAACGTTTTTGGATTAAACTCTTATAAAAAATAGATTACAGGCTGATTGTTTGAAGAGCTGTGCTTCGATGACGAAGAAAAAAATTTCACTCGAATGAGTAAAATCGAATTTGACAATGTCTATTCTCTCATAAACGCCAAAATAAGCAAGAAGGACACAAATTTTCGAGAAGCAATATCCGCTAGGGAAAGATTATTAGTGACGTTGAGATTTTTGACCACAGGAGATTCTTATACCAGTCTACAGTATCTATTTCGTATATCAAAACAAAGGATATCGGTTATAGTTCCTGAAGTCTGTGATGCTATTATTGAGGTGTTAAAGGATTATGTTAAGGTAAAATAAAATTACATATTTTTATTATTTTTTTATTAATCAAATTAATAAATTGAACAAATAATATAAGAAAATTAAACAAACAAATATTTAATGATGAGGAGCTGGAGAAGGAGGAGGGGTGGCATTGGTGAGGCAGCAGGCATCGGTGAGGTAGGAGGCATGGGCGAGGCAAGAGGCATCGGTGAAGTAGTAGGCATCAGTGAGGTAGGAGGCATGGGCGAGACGAGAGGCATCGGTGAAGTAGGAGGCATCAATACGGCAGGAGGCATCGATGAGGCAGGAGGAATCAATGAGGCAGGAGGCATCGATGAGGCAGGAGGCATCGATGAGGCAGGAGGCATCGATGAGACAGGAGGCATCAGTGAGGTAGGAGGCATGGGCGAGGCAAGAAGCATCGGTGAAGTAGGACGCATCAATGAGGCAGGAGACATCGATGAGGTAGGAGGCATCAATGAGGCAGGAGGCATCGGTGAAGTAGAAGGCATTGGTGAGGCAGCAGGCATCGAATATGTAGATGGCGTCGATGAGGAAGAGGGATGAGACATATAGCTTAAATTGTCGTGTTCACCATATGATTGAGTATAATAACCATAACCACTGTATGCTCCCATGTCTGCATCAAAGATAATTTTATTTATTGCATTTTATACGTATGCTAATGTAATTTTATCATATTTCCTCAACTCATTTCCTATATATTGGCCATACACATTATAGGGATCATTTTTTTCCGATATATTATCGCTTGCACATTGTTTTAAAAGTGTTAATGCTTCAGATATGGCGTTTTCAGTAAGATCATCACTTTCGTTCATTTTGGATCTCTTTTTAGGTCAAGTTGACTTTTGTTTAGGTCCTTCCGTTATCGTCGAGTTTGAAGTTTCATTTCTTTCTTCGTTATGACCGTCATCATTTCGAGTATTACCCAGACTTGCATTCTGTAAAGATAGAAATTATTAATTAATTTTATTTACAGATAACATCATCCGAAGAAGAGTGGCTTACCATAGCGAAAGAGTTTGAGAGCAAATGGAATTTCCCACATGTCATAGGAGCAATGGATGGGAAGCATGTTATATTACAGTCGCCGATAAATAGTGCCAATGATTATGACTGTTACAAAATGTTTCCAAGTATAGTGCTGTTTGCTTTAGTTGACGCTAACTATAAATTTCTGTACGTAGACGTTGGCAGCAAGGGACGTATATTAGATGGCGGTGTGTTTAAAAACACCAATTTATATAAAAAGGTCGAAAAGAAGGAATTGAATATTCCTCCACCAGAAATATTACAAATACCGTATAAAATTGCAGTGCCCTATTTTATTCTAGGCGATAAAGCTTTTGCTCTCAATGATTACACATTGAAACCTTATGAAGGTACTCCAGAAAGAGGTTCAATAGAAAGGATTTCCAATTACAGGCTGTCCAGAGCAAGAAAAGTTGTGGAGAATGCCTTTGGCATTTTAAGCTCCGTTTTTAGAGTACTAAGGAAGCCGTTACTATTAGAACCAGAAAAAGCTACGAAAATCGTATTAACTACCATATACTTATATAACTACTTGCGTAGAGATCAAGCTTCCTCGCAAAGGTTCACTCCCCCAGGATCATTCGATGCCGAAGTTGAAGGGACAGTTATACCCGGCCGATGGCGACAGGATACAGAAATCTCATCAATGCTATCTATTCAAGCCATACCACGGCGAGGATCAACAAATATAAAAGAAATACGTCCACATTTAGGGAGACATTTCATAACAAACGGAGCAATTTCTTGGCAGAATAATTATCAGTAATTAATAAGTACTCACTTCTTCACCTAAAGTATCTTGTGTATTTCCTGGGTGATTTCTGTCTCCCAGAAAACTGAAGGCTTCATAGGCATACAAATTCGAAACTTATATTTATCACCACGAGCTGCAGTACAAAATTAAAAAAAAAATTAGAAATTATATAAAAACCGGTGTAACTTTGGATATAATAAAATGAATGTTGTTAACCCTAATCATAAACATTAAATAATAAATACCTGATCCTGTGATTCGGCTTTTTTTTTCTCTCGACTTTTCCCTCCTATAAGACCCTTGTAAAGAGTCCATTTTTTTCTTTAATTCAGCTATTGCAAGGTTCATTTCCTGGCTTATTTTTCTCCATGCATCTTCCCTTAGTCCTCTATTTGTGTAATCAGGACATTGCGCATCCCAAAGTCGTCTATATTCACTATATAGTTGTATTAATTTAAGACACTGTTCTTATTCTATAACGTACAACTAACACGCAACGAATAAGCGAGGCAAAATACTACCGTCTTGAGTGAACGCGGCAAACGTACTGAGGCGCCTTTGAACATCGACAAAAACCGACAGCGCTCTGCTCTTTTTCTTGTGTGCAAGTGTATGGATTCCTTATAAACATTCAAGATAAATATTGACATTAATTTTGATATAGTTTGATAGAGTCGTGCTTTACGTGGTAGAGATGTGCTCTTACGTGGTAGACCCATACTGCAGCTATATTAGTAGTATAGTTGTAGCACAAAAGGGTCGGCTCGACCGGGGAAGGACCATTTTGATTCTTTATTAAGGATAGATGTGGATGGCTATGGATCACAGCAACCACTTACCATCAGGTGGACTGTGTGCTCGTTTGTCAGCCTATCCTATAAAAAGTCACCTGGGATTTTACATTTCAATTAAAATCCAACAAAAGGCAACATTTTATTTGAATATTTTTTAATTATTTTAGAATTATCATGGTAAAATTCAGTTAATTTTTGAATTTATTCAATTTCGTGCACTATACTGTTTTTTTTTTATCTTTTTTACCGCTTCCTTTACAATTATTTTTCGATAGTCCTTGTAAGTAAAATGTACATAACTAGCTAACGCATACAATAGCACTCGTTTTCAGGCTGTCAGGTCGTCTATACGCCAGTATATTCTAAGTCTATGCATTTTACATGGTTCTACGTCCTTAATTAGGCCTTTTTTTCTTTAATTGTAATATGTCAAATGTGTAGATGTAAGTGTTGAAATAAATGTCTTTATTATTTATATTTATTTTATTATAATCTGCTCTGGTTACCGCCAATCATGTGTCAGCTACTATTATAGTTTCGAGTCATCAATTTTCAATGTGTCAAGCCCATTTCGCTATGCATTATCAATGCTGTTCATTGTGCATACTTCATTAAGTATATTGCAATCATTCTAGATTCACGATGAGGGTTTGCAATTTTTTTTTCATAAAACTTAGAGCTGACATTACACTGTATATAAATGAATACAACGAGACGGCCATTTAAAAGTTTTCACCTGTAAGCAATATGAGCTTAGGAACAGCAATTTTATTCGAAAGCATTGATAAAGACGAACAGTAAATTAACAAATATTCACGGAAGAACACTCAACAAAAGAATTTTTAAAATATTTACAAAAACAAATATTTATATACGTGGTAGAGCCATGCTGCAACTATATTAGTAGCTCGACCGGGGAAGAACCACGCTCTCAGCGTGAAATAGCAGCTTGACTCTGCTGTGGTTTGGATCTCACTATAGAGTTTAGAGAACCGGAGACCCTTTTTACTGGAAAAGAGGCATTCCATCTTAGTCCTCACAGGTGACAACGCATCTGCATTTTGATTTGTAATAGAGGATAGATGTAGATGTCTATGGGCCTCAGCAATCACTTACCATCAGGTGGACTGTCTGCTTGTTTGTCACCCTTTACTATAAAAAAAAGAATATTGTTAATATTTTTGTTTTAAAAAGTGTTCTGTTTTTTTTTTAATAATAAAAATTTTAATTTGTTGCCAACAACCAATATATAAAAGGTTTCATGTGAACTGGCACGCACTGTAGGGCAACACTATTATATTCGATGGAGTAACCAAAGAGAATATAATCATTACTTTTAGGATTAACGACCTGACAAGATACAAGAAGTGAATGGAAGCAGTATGGTTACGAACATTTTCCTAATATATATAATAACTAGCTGACCAAGCAGACGTTTTTCTGTCCTTTCCGATGACCATTTGCTTTCCTAACAAAAAACTCCTGAAATTAGAAATAAAAAAACTGAGGGTCATTTATCGGAATAAAAACTAACTTATCTCTCAAGTTGGACCAAACTGAACGCAGTGTGCAAAATTTTATTGAATTCAGTCCAGTAGTTTAGGAGTCCATCCCGGACAAGCAACGTGACACGTAATTTTTATATATAAAGATAAGATTCATCATATTGCTCGATTATGGTAGAATTCATACTATTTGTCGTTGAGAAGGTCATTCTGTACTCTATGCCAATAGGTGGTCATTCAATATACGCTTCATAATCTTGCAGAGTCCTTGAGATTTGCCAAAAATAATTTTACCTAATATATACCATATTCCAAATATACTTAGTCGGGTCATAAGTTTTGTCAAAACCTTATTATTTAATAAAAATCAATATTGGCTAGATAAACTTCACCAATTTTAAAAATATAACGTTTGCGCTTACCGAAAATAAAAAAGACATTAACTTTCATTCATTTTCAAATATGGAGTGGTTGAAGAAAGAAGATTACGTTACGCGCCAAAAGAGATTTTCAATATTCTACAAAAATTGAAAATAACCCTACGATTTGTTTATCGCCGCGACATTTTGTTTTCGGATGATAAAAATTTTAACATCGAAGAAAGTTATAATAAACAAAATGATAAGGTGTATGCCCACAGCGGTGAAAAAGCCAGTACGCGTATTCCGAGGGTTCAACGAGGACATTATCCTTCGCCACTCATGGTTTGGCTTGTCGTGTTCACATCATATTCAGGCTTAACTGAGGTGTTTTTCTGTGAAAAAGGTGTAAAAACCAGTGCCGAGGTGTACCAAAATACCGTCCTAACAAACATAGTGGAACCTCTTTCTCAAACAATGTTCAAAAACAGACATTGGATATTCTAACAGGACTCTCCACCAGCTCATAGGGCACGAAGCACGCAAAACTGGTTGACCGCCCATGGAATTGACTTGACATGAAGACTGGCCCTCTTCTAGTTCAGATTTAAATCTACTAGATTACAAGTCAAGGTCAAGCTATGGAGAGGGCTATGTTTGGGGTTTCTCTGCGTGATAAAAATATGGCAATAAAGATATGGCAACTTTTGGAGGAGAAAATCTGCGATAAACCTCATCAGAATTTGCAATCTCTCCGAGCATCTTTGGCTAAAGCAGTGGCAGAAATAGATATGAATGTGGTGCGTGCTGCGATTGATGATTGGTCGCGTCGATTAAGGACAAGTATTCAAAATACGGGAGGGCATTTTGAACAATGTAAATAAAATTGTATTCTAAATTAAATTGCCTTTCATTTCATATATAATTTCTATATAATTTTCAAAAAGTGTATCATTAAATTTATAAAAAGTTTTTGATAGCTCTTACGACCTGACTAAAGTAAAAAAGGTTACAGCCTATATACGTCCCACTGCTGGGCACAGGCCTCCTCTCATCTTTGAGAGGGTTTTAGAGCAAGGAAATGTCCGCCGCGCTGCCCCAATGCGTATTTGCGGACTTCACATGTCTTCGAAATATTTTTTTCTTATTTCTTAAACATGCAGGTTTCCACACGATGTTTTCCCTCATCGCCGAGCACGTGGTAAATCAGCACTTAAAATTGCTATTAACAATTTCATTGGCGCCGGCGGGGATTGAATCCGGGTTGCTCGCGTACTGTGAAACTTACAGCGAGCGCTAACTATCTGAGCTACCACGGATTGACCGAAGTATATAGTATTTAAGCGACAGTAGCTTAACAGCCGGTCTAATCGAATCTAAGGTCGTAAGTTCGAATCCGCCATATGACTATTGTCATGAACCACTTCTAACAATAGCATTTTAAGCAAACCAGGAGTGGTCAAAGGGAATGTTGGTATTAATAATAGTAGTGCTAGTGTTCTTTAATTTAAAAAAATACAGGAGCAGCCATCCGCTCGTGACCAAGTTCCTGCTGACAATTCTAAGGATCCTCACCTCAAGGAAAAAGAAGTAAGGAAGAAGTAATTAAAATATGTCACAAGTAATTGTTAAAAGTTTTAGATGTAGTTAAAGGAAACTGCTTAACTTACTGAACTGCAGTAATTCACTTGCAGCAATCGCACAGACTAAAATTAAATTTATGCGATGACAATTTACACGCTGCGCGAGTACAGAGTAATGAAGTTAAAACTCGCAAAAGATTAAGTTAGCTGTAAGACGCGAGAAATTAGCATAGCTAATGGAAAGTGTTTTGGCATCTGAGTGTGATGTCTATTTTTAAGTAAATCTATGTAGGCGCGACGCGACTTGAGGATTAATGCAGATCACAGGGAAGTAACGTTCAAGTAAATCTGTACTTCATTTACGCATTTATAAACCGGAATATTCCATTAAATCACGTAATGTGAAACTAGTATAATGTCAATCTTACAAATTCTAATTCATTAGTCATTTAAAATTTTCAAATATCAACAATAATTCGCTTGAACAGTTTACAATCAGACTCAATTTAGATGGTTTAGATTGACAATTGAACGTAGTTGCGTTAAGATGCAGAAGTAACAAGTGCGAAGCTGAGACGGATCGCTATTATGATTTTCATTACATCCTTTTGAACTTCTCTTGTTTTCTTTATATTTACGTATAGACTTGTTACCCTACTAGTTGTGCAGACGATACCACTTACGGTCGTAAGTGCTTCCTAATATACATAAGTATGTTCTCAGTGAGATAGTTTGTAGGGAACAGTTGTTTATTTTACTTTGAATCATTTT